TAAGTAGTGGAGAGGGGAGCTAAATTTAACTGGCGAATGTGGAAATAAGCATTGCATCAGACTGAAAAAATGGATAGAAGGGGTGCAAAAATAAAACGATTGCAGTTCTCTTAAGAAGCAACATGGACTGCACTCCCCCCCTCTTCTTTTTTCCAGCGCTTAATGGATGAACATATGAAAATAAGGTGGCATGCGAAGTAAGGAGGTGGACATTGGAATCAGGAGCTGGATGGAATGGAGAGGTTAAAAACTGGTGGAAGAACTGAGACCTTGCACTTTTACGCTTACTACTTTTACCGGTTGATTTACACATAAATAAATACGTCTTTGCGAATGATATGCTAAATACAAGGTACCATTATCAAGAATACCAAGACCACCCGGCTAACAGTGTGAGCATGCCACGGTAGTGGTTTTACTGGGATTTTCGTACACGTTGAGCGTTACTATGTCAGGCTCTTCGACCCTGGGCTGCATACCATCAATTAGCACCATCCATCTGTTCGGCTTACGAAATAAGAGGCATAATAAATAAAAATGTTAATATTAAATAAGTTAATAAAAATGTTAATATTAAAAGGCATGATAAATAAAATTATCATCAAAAATAAAACAAAAACAAAAATTCAAGTTTATATTCCAAAAAAAAAGCGGAATTACGTCTTCCCCGCACGTTGCTTTTTGTTCCGGGCATTTTTTTTTTTTGTCTACGAAATTGGTTGAGGGTGAATAAACAAAATCATTTTATAAATATGTAATAATAGTGAAGGAAAAGGAAGAGCGCCGAGTGGCTTATATCCGCATGTTGAAATAAGTCTTCCGAAAGCGTAGTGCGTCCGGAGAGCGTATTGCACGCTGATGCTATCCCGTGACACTTCATTGGCATTAAGCAATCGCTTAATATCGCTTAATAGAGGACGTCATCAGTTATCAGCTCCAAAAGCTCTCACCCATTACGCCGTTAGTAATCCGTGCATGAATTAATATTTGCCGCACAACTTTGTGTACTGACGAGAAAATAATTTGGCCAAATTGAGGCTCAGGCGATGAAAAAACAACAAAAATTTCTGCCGCGCGAAAAAAAAGAACTATCAACGATGAACATTAGACCGTTGATTGGGTGGACCCCTCGGCTGCACATTTTCGCAACAGCTTACTCTGATTTCATAGCAGATGGACACTCACTTCGGTGCTTTGGTCAGTTGCATTTCATAATGTCGTTCCTCCAGCTATGCAGCTGACCACTGTTTCAGTTGCTCCTGACCAATGTTCTACCTTATATTGGTCAATTTGCTGGCAGCGTTGGCATATTCGTCAAAAATTTTGTAATAACTGTGATAAATTCCATTTACCGGGAGTAATTCCTTTTTGAGAGTAAAGTTTTTTTTTCTTCACGAATTTTTTCTTCTTTTGCTTTTAAACTCCGATTTAAATCGTATACTCTGCTGTAGCGTTGAGCAGTTCAAAAGGCAAAAATCGGGAGAAAAGAGTATTTAAAAAA